TTTTTTTTTTTTTTTTTTGGTGTTGTATTTTCTCGAGACAATTTCAATACTTGAAGGTTGCGCGAAGTAGAATTGAGTTAAGTGAACTTGTGAAAAGCAACCAGAACAGTTCTTGCTACCTGGTAATAATTATCTGCAGTGCTCAAATTGATGCCTGTAGAGCACGTAAGTTTATCTTTGGAAGGTACGAATATTTTGTTATAATTGAAATATATATATACACATTCATCACGCAATTGTAATTTCGCTAATATAATGGAGAGTATTATATTAAGTATTATAGTATTATATTGAGTATTATATTATAGTGTCATTATATAATGGAGAGTGTCATATTAAGTATTACATTAAGTATATATTATATTATATAATGGAGAGTGTCATATTAAGTATTATATTAAGTATTAAGTATTATAGTATTATATTATACGGAGAGTGTCATATTAAGTATTTATCAAGTATTAAGTATTAAAGTAAATAAATTAAAATGAATATTAAGTATTCAATTATTCAATTAAATAAATTGAAAAATGGATATTAAGTATTAAAGTAAATAAATTAAAACGAACGATTCGTATTTAAGAATAAAAATAGAAGTAAAGATCGAAGATCGGAGAACGATGACGTTTCTCTTTTCCCTAAGAGACTGAGAAAATTACTCACGAAGAGATGATTACGTGACGCGATAGTAAATGACAAGGGAAGATAACCCAAAGGAGATTACGAAACTGCTGAATATTGTCATCCTTTGTTTATTTGCTTATTCCCATTCTGTATCCAAATGTTTTGAAGCAAACACCGATCAATAATGAATCACCGCCAAGGAATTTCTAGTGTAGTTTTTTTTTTTAATTTATAACTCTCTGGCCTAGTATATAAGTGTTCGTAACAATTAACTGAACGTTGTATTCCCTATATTGGATGAATGTACGTGTTTCATCCTTACCCGTCTCATTTTTCGTGATCTTTTTAATAAAACGCCACACAACGCGAGCTTGTTTCTCGATTCATCAGATTAATGGGCACGATTCTTGTAACCGCGGGGCATAATTTAAAATTTCATTTTAAATGGACGTCCGCGAAGTTCCAGACCGCGCAGACACTTTCGCAGATTATCAAACTATCGTGTTAGAATTATGTTACGCGCTAAACGCCAGAACTTTTGTCGTTTATCTTTTGATATTTTTGGTTTCGTTTTACAAGGAATCAAGTCTCATTTGATTAAGCAAGATTAATCTCTTGCTTAAGCAGAGCGTACTAGTTCTTTTTCTCTCTCTCTCTCTCTCTCTCTCTCTCTCTCTAGTGTGATTGTATTATAATATATTTGCTTGTAGTGATCTCATGAAATAAACTGAATATTATTTACAGCTTTGTTGATAATGATAATTAATATCAATGTGCAAAAATCGGTAGAGACAAAGAAACAAACTCACCGGTTCGAACTTCTCCAGAGGAGAGCCCTCTCCTTCTTGGCATTCTTCGCCGTTCCATCGTTCGGACGTATGAACCAAAATGGCAGGAAACCACCCCCGCTTCAAAAGGAAACTTTCGCTTCGCACTAACGTAATCTACACACTCTTTCGTCGATTATCGTCGGCACTTTAATATTCGCGTTTTCTCATGATCCATCGTCAAACTTTAACTTCATGACCATTGATCTATGCCATTAAAAATTCAACCTGACAAAGTAAAACTACGCCACAGAAGCAAC